CCCCCACCCACCCACACCCACACCCACCCACACCCACACCCCACCCACACCCACCCACCCACACCCACTCACACCCTTACAGGTCTTGATTAGAGCTAACTTTTCATCGGACGGATTTTTGCTATTGAATCCCAGGGCTGAGAAAAGTGGGATTTACTGTCGTAGAACCACACTTTTTTATGCTTATTTTGCAAGCATGCCCACAAAATTGCTCGTAAAAAACAAATGGAGGGGAGTTTCAAAATCCGATCCGATGAAAAGTTGCGTATAGAGATTAGCTACAATTTGAAACCAGTCCGAGCTCTGTATGCCTTCTCTTAACGGAGTTATTTCGATTCTTCTGAAAGGTACGAAAACTAGTCGAAACTGCGATTTCGTGGGACATATGAAGCTGAAATTTTTATCACAAACGTTTTTCGCTAAGATCACTCATTCCTGAAAATTTGAGCCCAAACGGAGGGTCCCAAGTGGGACTTCATCTCTGAGAGGGGGGAGGGCTTAACAGAACGAAGAAAAATGTCCACTGAAATGTTTTTCAATACATGGTGTCGTCATAGCTATCATGGATGTGAAAAATTAAGATGTTGGACTATGATGAATAAATGTGTTGAAATTATAAGTCATGAGTAACACATTATCGTCATAGAGTTTTCTTTCAAAAATTTATAGCCTGAACGTTCCACGTCCTTTACTCGAAACAAGAGTTGCTTCGTTCATTAATCACCGAGACAAATAAAATGCAGAGAATACTTTAAAAAAATCATATACTATGAAAATTGAAAGATCATCTACGTTCATTTATTCAAAAAACAAGTTTATGAACACTCCTATTACAAGAAAAATAATCATTTCCATTCAACGTAGACATTGTTGCATACACGCTTTATTTCATAATCCAATAGAAGATTTTCATCATTAATCATTTTTTCTAATTTTGCAATTGTATTATCACCATTTTTTGATGTTGGAATACGAAAACATAATAAACGAAGATGATCATTATGATCATTATTAATTTTGATTAAAATAGATCGTAAAACATGTTCAATATTCATAGGATGTGTATGATCTACTTTAAAATATGTCATAGAAGGACAAAGTTCTAAAAGAAGATAAAACTCTTCGATATGAGACATTGTTTCGAGATAGATTTTTGCAATTTTATTTCTGTATTGTTCAGGATTCTCTTCTAATAGATCTGTATAAGATAAATCGATCGATCGATCTGATGATAATGAACGAATTTTTAATGTAATAAGTTCTGGCACTAATCTCATAATTTTAAATAATGTTTGAAATAAGAAATCATTTATTTGAATTTCTAAATGATAGATGTGCACTATGATTGAGAGATGTCTTGTAAATACTCTTGCTATGTCATGAGAAGCATTAGGATTAATGAAGACGATAGTAAGTCGTGTAGATTTTGAAAGTTCGACCGAAGAATTGACAATATTATTTGGCATATCATTATACCATCTTTTTCTAAGAGATACAAATAAAAAGACAATTTAGTGAAAATAAAAAAAATATATCTGTGATACTTGTATCGATGAATAAAATATTGGATACATGAGGTAAAAATTTGAATTTCAAGCACATCTTGTCGTTCAATCCAAAACGACGTATTGAATGAATCTGATGGTGTAGAATCTATAGAATATTCAATCCTTTCATGGAAACGATTATTAAATCCTAAATGATGTTTTTTTAGTTCAGGTAAATATTGTAAAATTAACCGTTTCCATTGATCACCATTTAAAAAAGTGTTTTCACCACAAGTAAGATTAATATATAAATATGTTAATTTACAAGATATTTCACTAAGAAATTTTTCGAAGTGATTCAAATTTCCATTAAATTTTCCTATTGAAATATGTCTTAGATTTATTAATTCGATTGGTAATTCACGATGAATATGTCGATTATATATTTCTGTTTCATGCACTTTCAAACGACAGATTTGAAGTGTATAAGTGAGTATATCAAAAAGTTGGTCAACACTTATTTGATGATTAATAGAAAGATATTCAATAGTATTTTGTCGTTTTTTTGTATATGTTAGAAGATTACTTTGACTATGAATTGAATTAATGGTAAGACTAATTGATTTTAATTTAGGTAAGGCGAATATTAATTGATAAATATGATCGATGTTTTCATATGTATTAGCTATGATAAAAGATAAGGAGAAAAGACGAGGTAAAGCAGTTAATTTATCAAGTATTGGAACAAGTAGATTTGAATGAATATAATATATATGAAGTGATTGGAGAGAACTCATCGACGAATTGATAATAAGTGACAATAAGAATTGACCATTTTCTAGGTGTGCCGATAATTGCATGAAATATATGTTACGACTATTATCAAGAAGAAATTGTTTATAGTTATTTGTAAATGTTTCACGATATGTTGCTATATTAAGTTGAATTTTGTATAAAGGACGTGAAGAATTGAGAAGTTGTTGAAAACGATAATTAAGATTTGAAAATGCTGTATAGATTTCATAGCAATCAAGATAACTAAATATTGTAACGAACAATTCTGTAGATAAATCTTCAATTCGAGTTATTGATTGATCATCTATTAAAATGCAAATATAAAAAAAATTCCATTTATTATTGTATTGAATTACCTTGTAATTTGATTGTTTTATCTTTCACTGATTCATTAAAAGTTATTGTTTGCTTATCTTTATCCATATATATAAACGTTGAAAAGTTTCAAATGAAATATACTAAAAGACGAATACAAAATTTAGAGTTCCTTTGTATAAAAAACAAAAAGATCAAGTCTCGTTCATTTTCTATTCTATATCAATACAATATTAAGTGTGAGTTAGTGAGTAGTCATCTACAAGCGTTCAGGTCTGTCGAAATTCTTCATATGTAGCCAGTTATTAGTAGTTTCAAAATGAGCGTAATATAGTAATAATATAAAAAAGAATAGAGAATAATCTTCTCTATCCAATCATGTTCTTAGTCTTTGTAAAGCCGTAACAAAAAGTATAGAGCACTTTCATACAAAAAAAGAAAAAATTGCTCCCAACAGCAGATTTGCATAGCTGAAGACAACAACTTATTCATACCCAAACTCGCAAACAAAACACCAGTTTGGTATAGTGTGATTGAAAAAATCATGTGTTACTATTATATTATCTTTTTTTCTGTAAATGTCTCAGGTTGAAAAATTTATTGATTCCATTACCTATTTACGGTGAGATAGGTAAAAGGTAACATTAAATCATGAAAAATAAGAAAATACTCGTTTCGCATATTTAATGATATGACTGATTTGCTTTCTCATTGTATAGGTTATAGAGATCTACGAAAATTAATCGAAACTTTGTAATAAAAGAACAAAAGCTCGAACTTTCGATCGTAAAGGCAAAATAAAAATTCATCTTATTAATCTGCTAGTACTAGAGACAGATAGTACTTCAGAAAAATACGTAAATTAAATATAAAAAACTAAAACTAGTTTAGAATATCAAGTGCACGTTCTTCTACATATTCTACTAACGTTCCCTATCTTCAGAACATACCTGAAATTTCGTTTTCATCTTGATCCTCACTAACCACCACTCTCACCTTGATCTTCAGCTTCAAAACTGCAGTCCTAAAATCGAGTTCTTCCTTAAGAAAAATATTTTGTTCTTTTATTACACAATATTCGTTTTCTCATGTTATCGCTAGGGGTGAGACGTTATTGTTATTTTTTGTTATTAATAACAATAACAAAAAAAGTTATTGTTATCAATAACAAATAACAAAAAAAGTTATTTGTTATTAATAACAAAAAAATAACAAATAACTTTTTTTCCGAAAAATCTTAGTT